TTTGAGAAGCAGGAACATGCAGAAGATTTGAACCACTTCAAGATAAACAAGTAAGTTAATTTCCTGACAGTTTATAACACTAAAATACAACCACAAATTGTGGATGCCCATCAAGAAATTGAAATTCATGTTGGGGTAGTGGTTTTCACTAAACTAAACTGTATAATTAATGCCTTTTTGCAATATCTTGTTTTCTTTACATTTTGATGTTGATCCATAAAGAAATGGCCTTTTTCTGCGGTAATTATTGTATTTATTCATGTAAACACCAAGGACGAAAGTCTAGAAGAAGACTTACTTCCAGTGGGGTCCTTCTGGTGGTGATTGGGCAGTACACCGAGAGAAAATCCCCTACTCTTTTCCGAAGAGTGTACTGCTTTCTTTAACGTGTACATAAATGCACACGGGACCAACAGCTTAAATGTCTCATCCGAATGACGGTGCGCTATTATAACTTGCATTTCAGCCCTCCAGCTGAAATACAAGGAGAGGCAGCGATGGGATTGAACCGGGGACTTAGATCTCGATGAGTGAGCGCACACACAGTGGCTACTGTACCACCAGATTAGCCGACTGAGCTATGCTGCTCTCTCAATTATGTCTTCAGGCCACTTGATTGTTATATTGTTGCATCGTAAAGAAAGTGCAATTGCTTTGTATTTTTGATTTTGCTTTAAATATTACAAAATCAAAAAATTCTAAGTAAATATAGATAGTTTATAGAGATCAACTAATTTCTATGATAAAAAAAATATTTAATTATAAAATTAACTAGTAAAAAATATTCTCATTTAATGCTGAAGTATAAATACAATTATATGAATTAGCATCATGGTACCGTACAGTGCCTTGTGCAGACTAAAAAATCTCCCTGTTGCATCCTCATCCTTCTCCCTCCCCCCTTCCTCACCAAAGATATTCCCATGGTAAACATTATGGTAAATATTGTAAAGTTTACATCACATATTTTCTCCATAAAGGACATTATCATTTTTTATATCCCTGCTGCATCCTCAGCTCCCTCCTCACTAAAGATAAATAGTCCCATGGTAAAAATTTTTAAAGTTTACATCATATTTCCTAAATAAAAAATATAATTTTTTATATAAATACTGTACAAGGAATCTGACTATCCCAAAACATAAAGTAATGTGGGACAATTCTCTGTTGGGTGTTCTGGTGCTTGACTATAGAATGCGATTCCAGAATATATCAGACATATTAAATCAAAATCTGTTTTTAAGAGAGAACTTAAGTTATTTTTATTGAAGTAAACTTACCCATTATTTATATGTATATTTATGTAATCATGTATGAACTATATTTTCTTCAAAATGAATTTTTTGATAAATTTTATTTATTCTTTTGCTTTGAAATGGTATATTTGATATTTGTTAAGTTGAAAAAGTAATAATTTTGCACTATATATAGAATTATGCAATGCACTATATATAGAATTATGCAGTTTTACGTTTAAGGGGCCGGACTTGATTAGTGTTTACACTATTTTCTAGCTCCTTCCTATATTAGTTTATGTATTTATTTGAATTTTATATTACTTATACTTATTGGAAAATAAAGTTGAAGTTGAAGTTGAAATAGCTAAGGTTAGGATATTACAGTATGTCTATGGAAAAAATGTCCTGTACGTCACTGTCCTGTACCTAATGGTGATGAAATTTACATCCGGTTTGGTGGATTCGTACAAAACCTTAGCATAAGTTAGTCAGATAGATACAATATCCATGAATAATGGTAAAATAATTACACTATTGGTACTTTTGGAGCGTTTTGCATGCTAACTTTTTTTTTTTAAACTCACTTTTTCTTCATGTCCCGTACGACACAAAACATTAATAAGGATTAAACTCGTTAATGACGGTATATAAACTTTCAATAATATACAACAAATCAGCATAAATATATGTGGCAAAGACAAGCCAAACCACTCACTTGTCGCAAGTCCTGTTTTGGAGATAATGGCCAAAACATGCTGGAACATCGTCAAAATTTTGGAGATCTATTTTATTGCACTAAACTAACCTTTATATATCTATACATCATGCTATGCTGCTATTTCCCCCATTTTCAATGCTAAAACAACAATTTTTAACGATTTGGTGATGGTTTCTGCCTAAGAAATGCCCGAAATCGTAAACCTTGAAGGCTGATTTTTCAAATATTGTTTTTGAAACAGCTCCATGTTTTCCTTGAGGAGGCTGTAAAATGAGGCCATTACTATGTTCAAAATTACCAATAATTCAGCACCAACTTACCTAACAAGCAGATTCCATATTAAAGAATGTCCCTATGACACCAGATCTGAAAATCATTTAACACTACCCAAACCAAGAACAGATTATAAATAACGTAGCTTATCATACAGAGGTGCTAAATTAGGCCTAAAAAAAAACTTGTTTTTTTGCTGTCACATTGTAAAAATTAGAATATACATAGGGACGGGGGGAAAAAAGTTTCTTTTTTTTTTCTTTTTTTTTTGTAAAATCATAGAAACATCGTGAAAACTGCGCGATTTCCATTTTTTTTTTTTACAGAAAAACGATAAATTCTTAGTGATGACCTCAAAAACTCAAATACAATTTCCAATTTCAAAATGAAAATAAAAATCAATTAAAGTATTATAGTTAATGATGTAAGTTTATGATAATTCAGTTTAGTTAAAGTAGTTAAGTTTCTTTCAGTAAGCCCTAATGTGATTTTCTTTTTTAATAAGTCTATTTTTACCTTTCTGTTTTAATTTCTGTTTTATCGAGTTGTACAATACCTTACGGCCTTGTTGAAAAACACCGTTGTGGTAAACAAGTATTTCCATAGTTAAATAAAGTTTTTATTATTATTATTATTAACTTTATAACGAAATGTCGGATTAAAATGATTCTTTTACCATTTTATAGCTCTCATATTACTGTTTAGCCCTGTATTAATAACTAAAAATTGATTTTTGAAACGAGTGACTGGTTTGGCTCGTCTCTGACACATACATAAAGCATAACAGGCTCAAATATTTGTCTTATGTGTTTGAACTAGAACCATTTGAGTCTCTGAATGTCCCATACGACAAATTTTCAAATATCTTGGACCTGCCCTAATAAATATTATTTTTCTGGTAATTTTTTGAGAAAATGTTTCACTACAGAATAGAAATGTATGTTTTCTGAGTAATATGAGACCAAACTCAACTACAGTATCCTGCAAAATTATTAACAGTGTTACCAAGTTTCCCGGATTTTTTTTCAAAACCGGCTATTTTAAAGTTAATCCAATATTTATACATAACTTATTGGAGCTTTTATTTGAATATGTGCTATTCCTTGATAAATGCCCTTTTCATCCTCTGAAAGTGCCTAAAATCCTCAAATTTCCGCATTTGTTGTTACGGTAAATAAATAAAACCATGATGAAAATGCTTATATTTAGTTTCAAACACGCGTGTGTGGCCTATACTATAAATAAGATAAGCCCTATGTCGTATTGTTTTCTATAGAGGGAGGGGGAGGGGTGGGTATGATAAATTACTAACCGGGAAAATTATTACCTTTGCCCCCCCCCCCCTGTCATTATTCAGGCCTGAGGTAACCCACTTGCCCAACGCCCGGGACAAGTGTTTTTTATAGTCGGACAAGAATTTTAGGGACTACTTGCCCGTGGACAAGCACTTTTAGAACAGCTACTTCACCATTTAATGCTTACTGCTTCATAGTAGGAACACAAGTATTTACGATTCTGTGCATCTATTTTTCTAGAGGTTTTCCTGTGCATTTTGAATTATTTTTTTTGTATCCTCCACACACAAAAAAAAAAAAACATTTGAAGTTAGTATTAGAATTGATAAGATTTGCAAACAGGTTCAAATATACTATATGGCCGGCCACCCCCTCCCCCCCCCAATCCAAACCAAAAAAACATAACGGCATAAAACAGTATTGTCAGCGTGTGGCTGAGATCTCGTGTATCGTGGGAATCAACCATGCCTGTGAAATTTTATTTACTGTTGTCGTGACGACAGTTTTTAAACACGCAATAAGGAAAAGATACATTTCTCTATAATATACATTATTGAAATTTTTGCAAAAAAAAAAAAAAAAGAAAGAAAAACATTTTTGCGTGATCAATGTAGTATGCATGTAGGCCTGTTGTAGTGCCATAGCAAAAATACTTTACTTTTGTTTTATTTTTTATGATTACCAGTATTGCAAAATAATATTGGGACAAGTACAATTGTCTTCAGGACCAGTGCATTTTTCAAAGGTACTTGTCCGGGGACAAGTGAAAAAATATGAAATTCCCTCATGCCTGTTATTGTCACTTTAGCTATGTGTATCATTTGTCACCACAAAGTGGAAACATTCCATGACTCAAACACAAGAAAATTATTTCAAAACAGGTTTTTTGGTCAAAAAATGGCAGTTTTTGGTAATCACTTTCTTCCTGTTATTTTATAGGGAAAATGTTCTATTATAGCTAAAAGAAACATGAGTCTTCCAAACAGTTTGGTACCAAAATGAACTCTGTATGACTAATAGTAGCATACAGAATTTTAATTCTACTCAATCTTTTTAGAATGTGTGTTTTATTATAGGCACATACATTTAATCTTTATTTCTATCTTATTATTTTATCAGAATATTTTTTTCTTACAAAATGATAATGGTCATTTGGAATTTAATACTAATTAGAAATTTACTTGATATAGTTTTGTTCATTGTTTTGTCATATTAATGACATAAGTTAAATAGTTTTATTATTTTGATTTCTCCATTGTATTACCCTGTTATTTAAAATCATTTTCAATTAAAACCTTATTTTATGAAAACTTTTAAAATTTAATTTAATTTATTTTTAAATAATTTAATTAGGGTTTTTGTGTTGTAATATTAAAATTATGTTTATTCTTAGTGTTGAACCAGGTTGAATGTTATCCCACAAAGCATTTTACAATGGACATGAAATTCATAACAAGAACAAGTTTTTTCACTCACCATTCAGCAGAATTAAAGAGCACAAAACAAGAAAGCAACATTATAGCCATTGAGCTGAGCAGGATGAGTCCACTGGTTTGCTGAGATCTTTGCAATGTTCAGCCTTCTACAAAAATTTAATACTGAAATAAAATACATACATTCATCAAATAACCAGAAAATTTAACCTGATATTTAACTTAAATGTATATTAATTAGAATTTACAAACATTAAATATAAATTGTAATTCTACAATAATTGTCTATAACCAATACACATTAGGGGTCGTGCAAAAACTATTTCAACGTGAGTGCCGCGTTATCGCCTTTTTCACTATCAGATCTACCGCGAGTTCGTTAATGAGGCCGGTCAGTGAAGCATTACATTGCTACCGCGGAAGATCATGAATATTTATTAGCTGTCTGCTCTGTCTAACCAAGTCGACCGTAGTGGCCTAACACGAGTACCGCGATATGATAGATTCGTTAAATAGCAGTACAGTACGATCCTCTTGGTGTGGGAAAATCCGCACAGCACGAATTTCCTGGTTGAGGAAATGATAAAAACTGGCTGCTAGCCAAAGGTACAACCTGTATTGTGCCGACTGTTCTGGATTTGGACTATACTGATCAGAGTACTCGTACATTCTTTATTAAGCGTCTAGAAGTCAGATGTCGCATAGAATAGATTTCTCTAATTTTATTTCATAAACGGAACTCGCCCAATGCGATTTAGATCGCAACCTTAAAAAAACTATAGCAAATAACACATCAATGATAAATACATGTTAGGATATATTCTTGAATTAGTGTAATTAACTCCAGGCCTATGCACCTCCTAACAACAACAATCTTCATGAATTATTTTAATAAAGTTATTTAGGCCCTATGTCTATGTCCTCCTTTGTAAGGAAACCCAAAATTCAGGCCTATTTTCAAACTTTTTAATTTGCTAGTATTTTCCTATCTATGCCTATATGAAGTTTAAAAATCCACTATTAATATTGGCATGTGCAAAACACAAAAGTAATGGATTAGGCCATGTCCTGCATTGTATTGGCTTACTTTGTAATGGTACATATATGGATGGTGTAATGTTTTCATGATGAGGATACCCCATTTGACTGGCAAGAGTTTATTACAGTACTGTATTTTAAACATGTCAGAATTTATTCTGTACTGTATTTGTTGTTTACAGCCAATTAAGATGCGATAAACGGAAAAGAACGCGTGGGTGGAGGGGAGAAACAGGTCAACGACTTTTACATGCCAACATTTTAAAAGTAAAAAACGGAGCATTTTTGGTTGCGAAGCACCGAAGGCCTTAGTCTGTGTGAGGAGGGGTGTGTCCTATTAAATTATATATTTTTATATTATATGAGGGCCTGTTTAAGGGTAAATCGTATGATTCTTATGATGTGTACAGTAGGCTACTCCAATAATAAAATATATTTTGTGTAGAATCACACATATTTTCTTGTGTGGTTATATCTTTATAAATCAATTTCTTATTTGCTGGCCCTTCCAGTGTCGGAATGGTAATTTAGTTTATTATTATGAATATTATTATTATGACTATTATTAGTACTATTATTATTATTATGACTATTATTAGTACTATTATTATTATTATGACTATTATTATTATTATTATTAATCAATACATTGCAATGCTGAGGCCAAGTTCATTAATGCTGGAATGATATATTTAATTTATTATTATTATTATTATTATTATTATTATTATTTTTATTTTTATTGCGCCAACGCTGCTTAACGAACTCAAAACATCAACCACACGACTTCGTGTGTAGTCATCAAAGTTAGACGTCATTTGTACTCTGGCAAACGTTCTGTACTTTAAGGCGTACACTGACTGATTAATAGGTCCATGCACTGACCTAAAATCCATACATTAATTTCTAATTTCATAGGTTTTATGTCAATATTTTTGACTAATTCTGGGTAAGTGTTTTGGTACTGTATGACTAACTAAATATTTTCATTTATATTTGTTCTGACAGCAATATTAATTTTGAGTTTTTGTATACTGTATTTGTATTTCTCTACTTGGCCTATACTTTCTCAATAAACTTAAAATATTTATTGCTCTAGACGATTTATCGGTACTGCATATTGATAGTTAATTTATGTCATTATTCACCAAAGAAACTTGAACTCCACCCAAACACTACTCATTAATGTTCATAAGCAGGGCAGGGTGTGCCCGGTATACTGCATTGTTCTAATAATCTTCCTAGATTTAGGACACTCCAGATATCGGTGACAGTTGTCTCATAAAATTATTCTGCCACAATAATTTAAATAACAATGAAACTAGTACTTCAGGGACGGAAAACTTTCATGATGAGAGTGACCAGGTATAGATTCTATAACTATTAATTCTGATCGTCACTTTAATGACGACATCAATATGGAGTACAATGAGATTCATCAGCGAAACCAAATTGAACTAGAAAAGCTGCTAAAAGCTGCCGAGCCAAAACAACCGAAGTTGACTAAGAAGAAAAAAGATGTGGGTAGACCACCCAAACACAAACAATTTCCAACTATTGTGGAGGAAACCAGACTCTTCCTTCAAACAAATGGATTTGCAGCACAGGAAAGAAGAAGGACAGAGACTGCAATGAGCACAGGTGTCACAATGGGTGATATTACCAACCACCTTAAAAAAACGGTACCAGGATTGAACGAGTCAGGTATTAGTAAATCTACTGTCCATCATCTAATGATGCCGCCACGGTCTAACACTAAAAACAGTACAAACTACAAAGGGCTTGTTAAAGCAAGAGTTCCACCAAAATCGAACAACCAAACGAAGAGCAAACATCTAGACCTTCATTATTGTCGATCTCAGTGCTCGATGTTAAAAGAGGCGTGCGAGTATTTTAATGGAGAATGTTTGAGATTGTCATGTGACGATAAAAATAAAATCAACGTAGGGACTCTGGCTGTCAGCAGGTACCACCAGATAAATAGATTCTTCGTGTGCGACGACCAACCAGGTTACCTAGACCACGACTTTCCATACGAGGATAGTAAAATAATTCCGTCTGGATATTTGGGTATGACGACAAAACACGACGTTGGAGACAGATGTAGCTCAAGGAGTGCAGAGAGGTGTACTGATGTCAAGACAAATTCAGGAAGAAGATGCCGCTCATCATCGCCAGTTCAAAAGGGCGCTTCTATACTGATAAATTAGGCCGTACAAGAGTAAAATATGGTATTATGGTTAAATAACTTGACCCGCTTATATATTCAACAGAGCAACTAGATTCAGTCAATCAATGGCACAGACTCATGCCAACGATCTTAGTTTACTCCTCAGCAACAAAGATATAGTGGGTGATAAATCAGTTGTATTTATCATGGCTGACGGCAGGGCAGACTGGTCCACCAAATCATTTAAGACTTTCCTCAACCAAGGTCATTTATGGAGGGACAATGATTTCGATTATTATGTTGTTGCCAACTTAGCAGCGGGACCCCATAGAACATTTATGGTCGCCGCTCTCCAGGAAACTTGTTTCTGTTACTTTGCCGATTACATTACCTGGGGAGGACACTCCTCCATGCCAACAACGTCAATTGTCAAGTGATGAGAGGGAAAGTAAATTAGCTAAAATCTTCGACAATGCAATTGAGAGTCTAAGAAGTTATTGGCAGATGAAACATGATGGATTCTCAATCACTCCGATTCATATCCCATGTAAACACAGTCCAGCTCCGTATTCAGATCACGACAAACTTCACGAATTCACCAAGTCTGGGATAAAGAAAATCATGCAGTGTCCTGAACTTTCTCAAATTCAAAGCGAATTCAAGTTCTTCTTAAGTCATTCAGTAAGACGTACAAACATGATCGAATTTGTTAAGTGTGAAGACAGCGCATGTGACCATTGCTCAACTCATCCTGTGAAGCCAAAAAATTCATGTCGTATTTACGTTCTTCGAACAGCAGGATGTTCACACCGACGCAAAATCCGACTAAAGATGGGCACTACTACACGTGGCTAGAAATGAAAAATCGTGTGATCGATATGAAAAAAAACATGCTAGGTAAGTTATTGTTATTATACCTGTAATGAATTTTATACAATATTTTTTTTTACATTAATTTAAGTCATTTGATAATGATATATCGACAAACAATATTATACTATACTGTAATTTCTTGTCTAATTTCTTGTTTTTTTTTTTTTTTTTTTTTTTTTTTGTATACGCAAACAATTACCACCAATTCAATTTACTAGTGCTGTATATAGGGAGTGCGCACGCCCCTCCAAAAATTACTCCCCCAACCCATCCACCCCTCTCCCCACTCAAAAATCACGGTCAAGTACTTAAAAATTAACTTATTTTGCGAATTAGCACCCCTCAACTAATCATCGACCCTCCACTTTACCTTCGCGCCCCCACCCCCCATCAGCACCCATATTTTAAGACTTCTAGATACGCCGCTCTCCTGAATCCTGTTTGACTAGGAATACGTACTGTACTGTACTATAAAACATAGGCCGGTTTTTGATATATATAGGCCTAATACATTACAAATCAGTTAACTTTTAACAAAGTCATCATTATTTCCACAGAACCCGATGTTGCTTGTCCATCTCTCGAGAAAGATGGCGGCCCAAGAATGTGTTCGAGGGGAAGTAAATATGTATTTACATCTAAAACGGATGAAAGTCGCCATGATCTGAGTGTTCATTTTGAAGAACACAAAGAAGAGAGACGCAACAAGCGCAAGCGCAATGACAATTGCCTGTAGTGCTCAATACAGTAGGTTTATTAATTAGGTAGCTTTCGTCGCATGACGTTAACCTAACCTCAAGTTTATACCATGTACAATAATGTATAGTTAAGGCAATAACATTCACATTCACAGAATTTCTAGCCCCAAAACGTACACTCAAAAATACCGGGATGGTGTCGGGCGGGGATAGTTTATAATCATGTAGAGTATAGTTAAGGCATATATTCACATTTTCAAAATTATAGTGGAATGTCTTCCGGTTCGGTCGCAAACCAATTCGCCTGCCATGTATTTAACACCTGAAAATCAGGAAATTGTGCTATATACTATTAAGAAAATGTGGCGGCCGAATTTCCAACACTGGTTCGTTTCCAAAATTGTGTTCAGACGTTTTTTTTTAAACATCATGTCAATTAATATTATTACTAGCCTATAATCACTGAAATTTTTTTTTTAAATGCACATTGTTTTTTTCAGAACACGCTGTTCGTTGTCTATCGATGGAGAAAGGTGGTGGTTCAAGAAAGAATTTATTTTATCTCTGAAAATTCAGCACTTGGATAATTTTAACATACATCAAATTCAAGAAACGTAAATTACATGGCTAGACTATATTATAACGTTAAATAAAATAGGCATAGGTTAGGCTTTATATATAACACTAATAAGACCTCTATCCTAGGCATAGCACTAGGCTCGCTAGGCGATACAGGCCTTAGGCCTAGTTAGGAAGCTAGACCGAACGAACTTTACGGCCCCAGCTAAGAGGCTAACTAAACTAAGAATAGGCTAAACATCAATTGAATTGACTGAGGATTACAAAAACAATGCCCACGTTCGACGTTAATAGCACAGTAGGGCCTATAGTTTCTAAGTTCTTTGAAACGAAACAACCAACAATACAACTTCCAGTACCATGACATGGATGAATGCACTGCTAGTGTATCGCGAGTGCTGTGGTAGCCGAATGATCATGCATATTCAATAATTATTTCATTAGCTCGTGAACGGTGATTATTAGGCCACGTCCATTTGCCGCGTTAGGTCAAATAATAAAATTTTAACATTAACAATTAATGTAATTATTTTAAAAACAAGAATTATATAAATGTATTTCATATTAATATATATTTACACACACAATATCATTAAATGATGATGACATAATTAATGTCGAAATATTGAATCCCAACACGATGGCGTGTATTTCAATACTTGGAGTATGTATTATACTTTCTTATCTGAGATTAATCAGTGGACCTTTCGATATCATTAAATGTTAATGCAAAATTCTGATTAGTATAGCTTGCACATTATCTCCTTACGTTTTACATGTATACACCCGACAGTTAAAATACATTACGGTATGCCAGCTCATACAAAGGTCTTTTTTTCTTTCCCATATTCCTGACTGTAAAATAAGGCTTGCATGGGGGAATAAATTGAGCCTAGAAATCCGAACAAACATTACCTGTATGGAAAATAAGGGCTGTCTGCACAGTTTTTGATGAAAATCAGGTATTGGCCTATACCAGGCGATACTATTTTAATACCTTGTTTAACGTACCTAATGTTTTAAGTGTACAGCAGCGGACGGGAAAAAAATTTAAATAAAAAATATTTTTTAATTCAGCAGAATTATCCTGCCAAAAGTAATTTAGTTATTTGTTATATAAAACTACACTATTATTATTATTATTATAAAAGTTTAGGAAATAGGAATTGAAAGAGAGGCAGATAAAATCGTGCTAGCACACCTTGTGTGTGTGTGTTGTGATCAATTGTAGGCCTACACACTACTGTGTTGTAAGTTTGCTTCGATCTTTTAAATGCTTTTATTTATCAAATAATGAAAAAATATATATTCATATTTCTTTCTAGTAAAATTCTAAAGGCAGTGGGCAAAATAAAAATAAAAATTTAATTTTTTTCTTAATTTCCCAATTATTCATGGCAGCAAAAAAAATACAATTTTAATTCAAATCTTTTTTTTCGGCTGGCGGAGGGTTCCCTAAATACGGTGTGCTTTATTATATAAAAATAGGCTATATATTTAATCTTTATTTCTATCTTATTATTTTATCAGAATATGTTGTTTTTACAAAATTAGAATGGTCATTTGGAATTTAATACTAATTAGAAAATCACTTAATACAGTTTTGTTCGTTATTTTTCATATTATTGACATAAATGAAATAATTTTATTATTTTGATTTTTCAAATTATATTACCCTATTATTTATATTAATTTTCAATGAAAACACTACTTTATGAAAACTTTTAAAATTTATTTTAAAATAATTAAATTAGAGGTTTTGTATTATAATATTAAAATTATAATTTTTATTCTTGGTGTTGAACCAGGTCAAATGTTATCCCACAAAGCATTTTACCACAGACATGAAATTCATAATAAGAACAAGTTTTTTAAGAAAGTATAAGAAAGTATAATACATACTCCAAGTATTGAAATACACGCCATCGTGTTGGGATTCAATATTTCGACATTAATTATGTCATCATCAGGAATGATCAGTGATTCCTGATGATGACATAA